AAAAATGTTATGTCTGTATCTGGCTGAGCAGCCATGTTGGGTCAGAGTCTACTGTTATCTGACCAACTTCTGCTCAAGCTAACTGGTGCCCTGAGTGTGCCTTGAGTGTCTGTTTAAGAATTGATACATGATATAGTGAAGTCAGTGAACAAGAAAATAACATAAAGTAGGGGGGGGGGAGGGGAGGGGGAAAGGAGGGGGTATTAGAGAGCTTCTCTGAGCCCTTTAGTGAAATCTATGGAAGAGCAGCATCCACTGGAGGAAGAGGAGTGTTGCGGTATTCAGGTTCCCCAGGTGATTAGGATTTTTTCATTAGTGTAAAATAGGGAGATTTCCGTTCCAATCATTGTTCTGGTAGCTAAAAACAATCTATAATTAAGTCCCATTGACGTTAGTAAGTTGATGGAGGCAAAATTAACCATTCAACCGAGTGACCAAAAGGTCAGAATCTACATTCTCATTTAAACAATCCACGATTAGTCAGAAAAACCTCCTGCCATAACAAGCTGACTTGAGGGAAAATCCACCACATAAGGAGATATATGGCTGAGGAGCCGCAGGAGCAGAATCCAATCAATGCCATCTGTAGAGGATCTTGAAGGCATTTTCTTTAATTAAAACGCTAGATGAAAATGTGTGCATACTGTCAAAAATGTCTGACCAGTCATCTGTAGGTAGACCCATGTTGAGATCCAAGACCCAAAAGAAAGAATATTTCATCCAACTGGATTTGTAAAAAGCTATTTTTGAAAGCTAATCCAAGCATAAACAATGTTTCACATGATAAAAAAAGGGAAATAGGTGTAGCGCTGTATACATAGATATAATAGGGTTGAACCTAATAGGCTAATAAAGCGTCCAGATGAGAGCAATTCCAATTCTTTATACAATCAACCTAAAACAAGCAGAAAAGAATTCCAATAGTGTAACACCGTAAATATAGATATAATATGAGTCAAATATAGCAATAAACTCACATTCTCCTGAGCTTAATGCCAAGCTCAGGAATAAGTGCGTGTAGGTCCGTACAGGCGACCTTCCCCTTCTTCTCACCAGGTACTCTTCTCAAATCGCCTCTAGGACTCAAATAAAACAGATATATAGTGTAGCATGCTGTGTAGAATACTCCTACTTCAGGTATGTTATATACTCACAGAAGTGGAGCCTCTATATCGGCTCTGTCTCTGCACGTTGAATAAACAGTAGAACTTTTCAAAGCAGGAACCAAATAAGCCCATATAATAAGTAAAAAATAATTTTATTACATCAAAAGGGTATAAAAGACCCTCTATAATAATATAAAACACCAAAGTATAAAATACTATAAAAATAAATGAATCAATAACAAATGGGCATAAAGGTATCATACACTTCTTCCCAGAACGCGTTTCACCGTAGCTCCGACGGCTTCCTCAGCTGGGGTAGGTAGACCCATGTTGAGATCCAAGACCCAAAAGCAAAGAATATTTCATCCAACTGGATTTGTAAAAAGCTATTTTTGAAAGCTAATCTAAGCATAAACAATGTTTCACATGACATTCAAAGACAACACAATGTTATTTTGCTATATGGATTTTTAATAATTGAATAATAAATGTGCTTAATAACCACTATATCTTAGATCATCCCTGTTTGGCACCAAGTTATGTGATTCGGTAATTTGAATATTGGAAGTACTGATCTGAGGATATTCACACTACATAAGAAATGATCAATACATAAATTGACCCTTAATGATAAACTTGTTGAATCCATAATAACCACCAACTTTAACGGGTAATAGTTAATTGATATGATCGATAATTGAGTGATTTATTAAGTATTAAAACAATTGAGCACCTTAACCATGGCAGACATCTCAAAAACCCTCATGTGTGGACTAAACAGAAAATTTACGAAAAAGGCAACAAGGCCCATGCACTTCTGGAGAATTGTTTCAAATGGCAAAGCGAAATTAAAAAAAATCTCACAAATTCTCACCCCCACAAGTGAGACCACGAATGACCCAGACGCCATTGCATCTACATTCCAAACATACTTTACCTCCATAACCACACGCCAACCACACTAGCCCAGGCACCAATAGAGACAACTCAGATAGCAAACTTTCTGGAGACCCTAAACCTCCCTGTACTTCCAAATGAGGCCAAAGAAGTGCTAGCCACCGCCATTGAGTCTGAAGAGGTCAAACAAGCCTTACAATCGCTCAAAACCCTTAAAAGCCCGGGACTGGATGGGCTCACGGCACTGCGTTACAAAACATTTACCGACCAACTTATACTGCACTTCTGCAAACTATTTAACATACTCCTACAAGGTAATGCGATCCTCGTAGACATGCAAACGGCACACATCTGCCTCATCCCAAAACCAGGGAAAGACCACCTAGACCCAGGGCACTATCGTCCAATTTCCTTACTAAACGTAGATGTGAAAATCATAACAAAGATTCTTGCAAACAGGCTTAACCTCTTCCTCCCCAAAATCCTACACCCGGACCAAGTCAGATTCATCCCTAGGTGTCAAGCAGCGGATTACATGCGCAGAACATACAACACAATCTGGTATGCCCATAAATGTCATATTCCCACGGCGATCAGCTCTCTAGATGCCGAAAAGGCATTTGATTGCCTCCTCTGGCCCTATTTATTACAAGTACTGGTACACATAGGATTTTCCGTCAACTTCCTCAACATTATCAAATCGCTCTACGACCGCCCACATGGACATCTCTTACTTCCAAACGTAATAGCACCTCCTTCTCGATCAGTAATGGCACTTGCCAAGGATGCCCTCTCTCTCTTCCCTCCTCTTCGCCATCTCCCTTGAGCCACTGCTACAAGCCATCTGCACCCACCCTAATATCACAGGCGTACAAATCAGACAAGACACATACACAATTGCAGGATACCCAGACGACATCCTGCTTACACTGACGAACCCAGTAGACTCTATCCATGCCACTCTCACACTAATAAATCACTACACCACCTTTACAGGGTACAAATTAATCTCTCGAAATCCGAACTGAGTATAGACGACACACAACTACCTGTCATCAGAGCCACTTTCCCACTTAGAATCACACACACCCCTCTCATTTGCCTAGGAATTCGCATATCATCCAACCTAGAAGATACCTACTCCTTAAACTACACACCACTGATCAACTCAGCCTACACAGAATTACAAAGATGACAAGCCCTGAACATATCTTGGCTAGGCGATCAAAATTAATTTGCTCCCATGCTTCTTATACCTCTTTCAAACCTTGCCAATCCCCCTGATACGCACTGAATTCAAAAGGCTCCAAGCAGCCATCGACAAATTTATTTGGAACAACAAGAAACCGAGAATCAGACGCACCACAATGTATGTACCGACATCACATGGGGGTCTAGGCCTACCCAACTTTGAACAATATTTCCGCGCAGTACAACTGGCGCAACTTTAGAGATGGCACTCACTACCGAGCGAATAGCGATGGATAGATCTTGAGCACAATATCCTGGGATGGGACCTCCCCACACACTACATGTGGGTCCCCCAGACTTACAGACCACTCCCATCACCCACTTCACTGGCAATAACCCACACCCTAGCCCTATGGGACAAACTGAAAATTAAATATGACCACTTCTCCTTCCTATCCCCACTAACTCCTATTTATCACAATCGCCTCTTCCACCCAGGGATGACCCCCAAACACTTTACTAACTTCGACAATCGAGACATCTCGAGACTGCTCCACTTGTACCGACAATCTAAGGTAATTGAAAACTCAGACCTACCCAACCCTGACACCCTACGCACTTCAGATCACTTCCACTACATGCAACTGTGGAATCTAGCTAACTCCCCGGTAATCTGACAAGCCGCTACAGCCCCACCGACAACATTGGAAAAACAATGCTTCAACCACCCCACAAAAAAAGGACAAATCTCAATGATTTACATTACACTAACCACGCACACCTCACAACTCATCCTTCTCTACATAGCAGCGTCAGAACATGACCTGGGCCCCCCGAGGATCCCAGCGACTGGCACGACATATGGGAAGCAATGCACTCCCTGACAACATGCGTCACACATAAAGAGCAAGCCTATAAAATGCTTTTCCGTTGATATCTCACACCCGACAGACCAATGGGGAGAAATGGGGAGAAATCCCACCGATCAATGCTTGAAGCAGTGCAAGGAAAAAGGAACGTTTCTCCACTGTTGGTGGGACTGTCCAAAACTCAAACCTTTCTGGACACAGGTTCACTCTCTACTAGAGCAGGTCATCACCACACCCGTTTCAGCCGAACCATGGAGAATACTACTGTCCAAACCAACATACTCCCTCACCAGGAGTGAGAACAAACCGAATAACACTGGCAGTACGCCGAGCAATCAGAGAACTATGGGCAGACCAAAGTATACTCAACCTAGAAACAGTAAAACGTGAAATCAGAGAAATCCACCACTTAGACAAATTGACAGCCCAGATACATGACACCCCAAAGACATTCCACAAAATATGGGACCTCTGGACAGCCAGTGGCCTCTAACCAGAGGACAACCCCTCACAGGACACACTATGGGGTAACATAGGAAGTACACAGAGCTACCTCACTTAGCTGCACCATAGGCAATGCACCACACAGCAGAACCCAGAACCAACCCATGCAGTCAAAAACAGTCACCCTCTTCTGTTTTTCCTTGGTTTTTTTCCTCTCTTTTTCTTTCTCTCCCTTCCCCCTTTCCACCTCCCCTCCAATGCCTATCCTGCTCCCAGCTACTGATACGCCTCTTTCTATATCCTACCTCGAAACCTAGCATCGAGCCGTGTCCGTTGTACATAGTTTCTCAGTTATACCTTCTCGTTTAACGTCCCTTACCCCTCCACAACCATATACCGCATCACTAACTACAAGCCTGCGGACCAGCAGGAGATAGCACACACACACTTGAGAGTGAACCATCAACCAGCATAGACAGTTGGATACACAAACATGCCCACCACCAAACCCGATCAACCCCACACCAAAACCCCATCCCTCACTCGAACTGCAAGCACACACAGACAAGGTGACCTACACCCAACACTATCACCAAGCATGGACCTCAAGGTAAACCAAACCCATGCCTCCCTAACCCTTGCACCGCTCAACATTAGATACTCCAAACAACAGCGTACAAGGGAGACCACACCACAAGCCCCCAACACCTGCAGGCCACGCATGAAAGACCATGGGACTCCACCAACCTCACTGGGACAACTCACAAAAGACGATACAACTAAGGGTCTAAGGGACATAATGTCACTGTCCAGCGGAAAACTTTATAACCAGATGTATCAATAATGTTACACTCAATCGATGTTGCATTTACTGTGGACCACTGTACAACCACAAGAGTGGCAGTCCCTACCGTTTATCCTTGTTTATTTCGAACCCCCCGCCCCCCAGAAATAAAGAATAAAAAAAAAATTAAGCAGCTTTAACTTTTCATTACATTTTCCTGCACTCTCTCTCTCTCTCTCTCTCTCTCTATATATATATATATATATATATATATACACACTATTTTTGAGGTCTACAATTCTCACTCTGCAATGTATTGCTTTTTTTTTTCTTTAATAACTTTCTTCTGAATTTTATTGAGTTTGCAAGGTTCAGAAATGTCCCTTTTGTAACATGGGACTGAGAAACCTCACATTTCTTTTTTATTATTGTATAAAGTATGGCACATAGCATAACAATGGCCTACTAGTATTTCTACCAGGGTAGCGATATGACTGGCAGAAACACAAAGAGGTTTTGAAAAGCTGATAAATGAATGACATGTCAAAAAAGTATATTCAGTTCAGGACAAATCCTTTATTATACTTCTTCAGTAAGTAAATTTCTGATTTTTCACTTAGTCAACCCACCAACATTTTATATATATATATATATATATATATATATATAGAGAGAGAGAGAGAGAGAGAGAGAGAGATGTTCTTGTGTTTTATTTAAAGAGAATATGTAATTCCATTGATGAACAGTTGTATATTGTTATCCCGCCAATTGGCATTAATTTGTATACATAATGAAACATTGTATTATAATTTGTTTATAACTACGTTTCCTTAGTACCACAATGCCTCAACTGAATTAATGTCAGTCATGCTTTTTAGAAAGTGACCGGGATAAATGTGGGACATGAATTACAGTGTTTGAATGGCTTTATTTCATGAATGATAAAATAATAACTATAGTTTATTGATAATTCCATTAGTCCGATTATATACTGTACTAAATGTCCCGATCAAGAACTCGAAAAATGGTGAAAATAAAATAAAGATTTTTTTATATTTTTAAAGGTAAAAAATTTAATTTTTTCATTTTTTTATTACTTTTCTATATTGTTTTTTTTAAAATGTGTTTTGTTTCTACATTTCTTTAATATATCATGGTATAGTTTGTGAATACTGAATATCAAATCTATAGAAGGGGCAGAGCATTACTGCCATGTCGGATAGTGTTATGTGAGTGCTCCTCACGGATCTTTCGATATTGATGGATTCGTTGGATCAGTTTTATTAGGTCTGTGATACATTATGTCACTTAGTGGATTTTATGAAATTGTCATATGACAGATCACCAAATATATTTCTATGTGAGTAAAGAAAACATTTTAGGGATCGACTCAATGAACATTAAAAAGGCTGTTTAGATTTAACCATAAATTCAGGAAAACACCTACATTCACGAACATTAAACCAACACATCATATACACAGTGGATTTAGTAATTGTCTTGTGAAAATAAACTGAATTTCTCAGAATATAGGCAACGTTCATTAATCAGAGATGCCAGCACTAAACAATTACAGAAAATTGTACTTTTAATAGCAATTCAAATAAGACAATACGATTTAATTAAACTGCACGTTAATTTAATAATGTACGATTCAAATGATTTAAAGTCCCGTAAGTCAAGTTCTAATGGTACTGAATGTTAATATATGTAAATATTACATAAACCATTACATTGTAATATGGTGTGGAAATGGGATTTTATTCAGACAAATGATTTAAGGGAAACTATCACTTCTCTGGAAATGGCAACGTTGAATAAAACATTGAACAATCACACCTAACATTAGTCCTCAGACACTGCAAATGAAGAGAAGTAATAGAAACATTGTTTCATGTCTCCTCTTCTCTGTCTGCTCTCTCTTTATGCTGACTGCTAGCTTGAAATAAAAGAACTTGGAACAATGATTGAGCTAATATGGAGGCACCTCGTTGCAGGAAAGAGAGGTGTGAATTTATTTAAATTTTATTTTTCTCACAAATACATCTTTTTTGAATATTGAGGATAAATGAATATAATATAAAAAATACAGGAAAGTCACAGTTGCCCTTCATATCTGTGAATTATAGTAGGGGCATAGCAATGTCATGAGGTGACCAGGAGTGAGTTTTTATAGTACCCAATGCCACCCCACTCACACACCCATTTCTGACTCATAAACTCACTGACAGATTAGATCTGGGAAGGAGATACACACTGACCCATACAATGCTCACTGACACCCACATTCATTGACACACACTAACACACAACATAGATACATACACTCACACAAACACTGATCCACACTCACTGACAAAGATACCAGGCTATACCGGCATTGACACACAAACACTGATTTACACATTCACACTGAATATACATTCACTGACCTGTAAATCAGCGTGAGACACTGACCTGTGCGCACACACACACTGACCTTCTTACAAACTCACATACACTGATTCATACACACATACAGGCACTGACATGGACATACTGAACAATGCACACCCTGACACAGAGACAATGACCCATGCATGTACACTAACAAACATTGACCCATGCATACACACACTGAATCATACACACACTGAATCATACACACACTCAATGAGACAAACTAATGCACATTCACTGACCCACACATGCACATTCACATTCATAGACTGACACACATACACACACACACACCCACACTCTGACACAGCTATGTGAATGTATCTCTCTCTCTCTCTCTCTCTCTCTCTCTCTATATATATATATATATATATATATTGCATACTTTTTTCATACACGTTTATGAAACGAGGGAGGTTGGCTGCACTCACCTAAACATGCATAAATGGGGGTGTTGAGGGGGGCCAAATTATATAATACACAAGATCCAGCACATTCACCTATCCACTAAACAGCAACTTCAATGTTGAAAGATTTTATTTGTTTTTTTTAAAATACCTAATCTAGGCAAAAATAATGGGGGTTTAGTTACATTATATGATCATACATTGCATAAGCCTGCCACAATGTCAATGTACCCCATCTTTGGCAGGTCCTACTCTAACAGCCTAATGTGTGCTCTTATGAGATTAACCCACTTACTTAGGGAAAAAATTCCATCTGGGGCTCTCTGCAGTACAAGGCTAAATATGGCCCTGGGATGAGGCACCTGGTAAGACGCTTCTGACGTTGTTTTTTTGTTCAGGAGCGCCTTGACAAGAGGAAAATGACATCTGAAGCCCATGTCCAGGATCTGTCTGTGTGTGGTGGCTCTTGATGCACTGACTCCAGCCTCAGTCCACTCCTTGTGAAAGTCCCCAACTCTTTTGAATGGCCTTTTCCTGACAATCCTCTCCAGGCTGCGGTCATCCCTGCTGCATGTGCACCTTTTTCTTCCACACTTTTCCCTTCCACATAACTTTCTATTAATGTACTTTGATACAGCACTTTGGGAACATTCCTACTGAACCAGACTGAGAGACCATTTAAAGTCTCAGAGACCCTTTGCAGGTGTTATGGCTTACTTAGCTGATTAGAGTGGGACACTTTGAGCCTAGAATATTGCACCTTTTCACAATATTCACGGCTTGAACTATCTTGCTTTGCATGTAATGCATCTATCTCATATATTAGTTTAGGCTTTTACGTTGCATTACTGAAATAAATGAACTTTTGCATGATATTCTAATTTTTCGAGTATCACCTGTATATATATATATATATATATATATATATATCCCATTGTACAGCGCTACGGAATTTGTTGGCGCTATATAAATAATAAAATAATAATAATAATATATATATACCCTTTCACAGTATAAAATACTGTGGCATTGGGGAGTGGAGGCGGGTAGTATATAAATATTACACCATATAAATATTATGTATATATTTGCAGTTCACTGAAAAGCACATGTTCACTCCCTTTTGGTTTGTGCGAATCATTGTTTGCATGGACGAAATAAGTATGAATTGAAACACTGCATGGGTGAAATTCAGTCCTAACAAACAATTTAGTTTCGTCCAAACAAAAGTTTTCCACCATGCACAATCAAATTTCTTAGACAGTTCAGCTGCAAGTCAGAGCTTCATTGCTACATTACTCAGAATACTAGTAATTCCAAAGTTAGACATTTTGTAGGTGTAGCTAACTTTAACCAAGTAAATCGGTAATTCTTGATTATATTAAGCAACTTTACAACTCACTTTCTTGTAGTAATCGGTCAACTCTGAGATTTTTCTCTCACAGTTCAAATATTTTGATGAATGTTGTGCACTTTATTTATAAACACAATTGATAATTACCCTTAGAAAAAGTTTCTCAATGGCCTTGATTTATTTGAGGCAGAGAAAATCGTATGAGTTACATAGTTATGTGCGAATAGAACTATGTTTTTTATTGGTGAGCATTCCTCACTGTTTACAGTATATATTTTTACTCAACATAAGTTCGTGGTTATTATATTATTATTATAATTGGTATTTATATAACGCCAACTCATTCCGCAGCACTTTACAATATTATGAAATGGGGAGAAATGTACAATAAATTAGACAATTACACAGTGACACAGGAACAATAGGTAGATGAGGACCCTGCTCAAACGAGCTTAGCAAGAGAGTGTGAAAAACCCTTGCCGAAGTGGTACTTGTACTATTCTCAGTTGTGTTTCTGAAAATAGTTAATTCTATGCCCATTCAGGCTGCTCTAGAAAGCCTAATCAGTGACAGTCAGTAGGACATGATGTATGGCTCGAATACACCGGAAAATAGGACATTAAATGCCCAAGAAACCACAACTTCATCTACAACATGACACACGGAGTGGCAATCTCATTGTTTTCATATACAATTGTTTTTGGCTATGATTGAGACGTTTTTGTCTGACAAAGCTGCTAGAAATGATGATTTTAGGACTTAAACTGCATATTAGCTGCAACACTTAACTAGACTCCCAAATGATTAACTATTACAATGACATATATACTTTAATGTTATCCCTTTCCATGACCTGTTTA